ACCCTTCTTCCCTTTAGTAAGGTGAAGCTATAAGTAACATCCTTTAAAATAATGTATGAGAAATTATGAATCAATTGTTACTTACAGGCCTTATACATATTCTCATTATTTGATATTTGAAACAACCATTTTAGCCTTACCTCCAAAGCATGCAGCATAATCTTCTGAATATCCTTTGGAATAGCAAACCTTTATTCTTTGATAGGCTATTTCTTGTAAATGGCCAAAATTTAGCTGGAGCAAAGACTGACGAATAGAGTGGGTAATCTGATTTCAACTTTGTTCAGTCTTAACTTATACTTAATTTACAAAGTCGTTTGTTTTTTGTGTATACACACATTACTGTTCTCACCCAAATATAACCCCTTTCTCAAACTTCTGTGACCTCCCCCATGGCACTGGCATATTATTGTTATTCAGTACATGTCTCTTGAATTGTTAAATTTTATATACACATATGCCCACTGATCAATAAACTATCCTCCAAAACATGAACTTCAGCACTGTAGAAGCTACGCATCCATGAATTATTCTTCACAGTCTTGACAATTCCTACGTGACCGCATAAGTCAACATAATTTAGTTGAGGCACAAATGCCTCATGTCCTGGAATGCTGATGGGTAGAAGCAAACTCACTTGAGAGAGCGTGAGCCTAACTAGCACCTAAGCATCATCTTTAACCATGGCTTTATTGTCTCTGTTGTAGGGGAAATAATATGCTAGACTGAGTGCTATTTGAAATTAGGGAATTCCCCAGTCTCAGGATGTATCTCAGATGTAAAACATTTCACGTTCAGTAAAATTACTGCTTCTACAATAAGGTAGGAAGAGACCAGTCTGTTACAGGTTTCCAAGATCTGTTCATTCTTTCCAGTCAAGAAATACAAAGGAAAATTGGTGCAGGGTTACATATGCTTTGGATTTCACTTTTATCTTTGACTCGTTCAGGTTTACAGTGATTATTCAGGTTTAATATACATGACACACCTAAGACGGAGACTGGCGTGATTGAGGCCTTTAAGTCATTGATTTGGACATATTCTGATAGTATTGAGTAACAGGGAAATACTTGTGTATAAATCGCTGTTCTGCTTTTATTATTCTAGACTGAGACGGGAGAAACAAGCCCGCACTGAAGTTAGGAAGAAAACTTTACAGAAAAAGAAAGCAAGACTTCTTCAGGAAAAGTTCCCACATCTTTCTGAAGCTTAGAAGTCAAGTCTTGGCTAAGATGTCTGAACTCTTAATTTACCATTTTGTTTTCCTTAGATAACAGTCTGGATTTGATAGTAACTATATATTAAGTGGTTTATAAAGAAACTGTTTTTAGTCAAACGTCTGTTTTACGTGTTAATATGGCATGCTAATTCTGGAAGTGGTCCTGCTTCTACTAGATTTTTTAAAAATCAAGTATAAACTCCAGATTAAATTCTCATTTTATAAACTCTGATATTTAAGCTGACTTTAAAGCACCTGCATCTTAGAGTGGGAAAGTAATGTCAACTGCTAGAGCAAAGGCAATTCAAGTCACATTTTACTACTACTGTTAATAGGGTATGAAAGTGGTGTGGATACTGCTAATAATAAACAGTGAGTACTTTCACTGAAAATAATGATAAATACATTTAATACTTGAAATTATCAAGTCATGACACAGCAGTCCAAAAAACGTATTTCTGGAATGGCTACTAATTTTTATTTAATTTTGCAAGCCTAAGGTAAAAGGCATAGGCAGTAAGTTTTACTTGTCAATAAAAAGCAATTTTACCAATCCACTGGTAATTAATATTAATATACTAAACAGAGTTGGAAAGCATTTGAATAAAAAGCAAAATATTTAGACAAAATAGACATTTATACAAAATTATAAAATGCTTATAATACGAATAAGTACATTTCAAGGAGAGCACAAACTTAATTTATAAAGCCAGTTAAAGCCTTAAAAAATTTAAGTGGAATTGAAATAATGCAAAAATGTATAAACATTCTACAAAAGATGGTCATTCTTTTCCTGAGTATACTAAAGCTATGACACGTAAGGTGACACAGGAAGGCAGAGGTGTGGGGACTCTGTTCAGGGGCATTTCCTTTCTACACACTGCTTCCCTCCTTCTTCATATTCTTGTTTGGAAATCCACATCTGTTGAAAGGTGCCCTGTAAAATGGAAAGAAAAATTATATATATTGTGCCTTTTTATTAGAAAATACTTTTTCTTTAGTATATCTATTTTCACGTCTCCTAACCTTTGAAGAAATCTTAAACCCTCCTCGAAAATAATTTTCCATTACTCCCTTATGACTGCTCTCCTCCAGAACCCACACGTTATTTAGGGTTAGAAAGAATATTATCTTTCTATACCTGTTACACTGTCATGAGGATAGAAAATGGCTGTGAAAGGCAGGCAGAGGGTCTTCCTATGATGACTTGGTGCCAATCTAAGGCAACAATAGAAATTGTTGGAAGGCTTGATCCTAATATAGAATTGAAGGGAGATTCTAGATCTTGATTAATGGTAACGTGTAGAATTCAAAAGTACTCATCAGAACCAGGATGAACATTTGCAGGCGCTCATACAACAGCACACAAGCACTTTACCAAATAAACACAGAGGGTGAAAGGAGAAAAGTGACCAAAGGAGGAAGGAACCAGGGCTACATTAATAAGACATGCAGGAGAAATCCACTCCCTATGAGTGACTCTACTCAGGTGGGTTCATACATGTGATCTAGTTTTGATCGAAGATCTGATAAAAGATTTAAATAGGTAATAGATAAAAATTATGTATATATACACACACATACACACGCAGTTACAAACATTTCATGGCTTTAAAAGTTTTAGTATAAGTACTTGGTAACATTTACTTTGGTTGCTCTGAGGCAAAGAGAAAATTATCTAGTCAACAGTATAGATAAGTACAAGGACTTTTACTACTGATTCAGGGCAAGGGCAAGCACCATTCTAAGCAACGTGCGAAACCCAGAACCATGATTTCATCATTTGCCTGAAGAACCAATTCCTGACTTCATCTAC